AGTGCTACTTTAGAGTCGCTGTCCATTCATGCAGTGCTGAAATATCAGTATACCTAGCTTTTTTAGGAACGTTATAAACATTTGTAATTTACTTGATGGAAAAAGTTTGAAGTTATTTTTTTTTTGTCCCTTCAGATAATTTCTCCTCACGGTTCACCCGGAACTCAGAGTAATGAAATCTAAGGGTAGGCGTCTTGAACGACTATAACCTCACATTCATGCTCATGCTGCATGTGACTTATTCAGACTAGGTTTTGAAATATAAAGACTCACTCAACACTGCACGCTCTACCTTTCCAGTGTTAATAATAAAGCAGTGTACACCCAAGACTCTTTTCTCTGAGATGAACAAACTTCTCAAACCATAATCTTATACAACGAATGCCTCTATTGACCTTTGGGAAACTTTTCAGTCATTTTTCCTTCATAAAACTGGTGTCATCTACCAAGCTTTTTCCCCATCTGCTCCTCCAGATTTTTTTCCTTCTCAGTCTGTCCACCCGTTCTCAACCTTTTTACCTGCTAATACATCTGAGGTTGAACAGCTGATTACTAAATCTAACTCCTCTTCCTGTCAGCTTGGCCCAATTTCAACTCACTTACTCAAAAACTTCTTGCCTACTCTCAATTTATCACCCATATGATAAACAGATCCCTTGATACTGGTTATGTTCCACTAGGTTTAAAAATAGCTGCCATCACTCCAGTACTTAGGAAACCAAGTCTTATCACTAACCTGAGCAACTTTAAACCAGTTTCCAATCTTCTGTTTATAGCTAAGGTATTTGAAAAGTTGTCACACAGTTGCAGTCTCTCTTGGATAAACCTGCTTGAACAATATCAGTCTGGTTTTTGAGCTTCTCACAGTACTGAGACTGCTCTTTCAAGACTGGTGTCATAAGCCTCTTGGTTCTCCTGGATCTGAGTGCAGCGTTTAACTCCGTTAGCCATTCAGTACTCCTTTCTCATCTGTCTGCTATTGGTATCACTGGTAATGTCCTTCGGTGGTTAACTTCATATCTCTCGGATAGGCAATAATTTGTGTGCATTAACAAACACTAATCTC